TTTAATTAAATCTATTTAAATAACATTAGGTTTAATGAGTTTCTAGGTTTGCTGCTGCAAGAAACTAATAAAGTATATTTTTTTGTTAAATGTAATTAGCTTAGTATAAAATAAATAAATTTGCCAAGTTTGATCAAAATATATCCATAAAGAAGCAAACTACAACATTTACCAATATTCTCCATAAGAATTACTTGGAAATTTTAAATGCAATTTTTTTGAATTTTCTCCGTTACCAACAACCGTACAAAAACACTTTGATAAACTAAATGCTTTGTTTTTTAAGCTCATTAAAAAGGTCTATTCTCTGTATACACTAACCTGGCGTCTGAACCCTTGACTACCTGTGACCGGGCCGGGACCGTCCCTTGCTCGCTCACTTCTTGAGCAGCTGTTTCCATAATTAGTCACCTAGTCACACCCCCAATGCACTTATTAACTATTTTGTGCGGGCGGAATTTTACATTTTTATCTGTACGAGCAAAATGTCCATGAATAAATAAGTAAAATGATACCAAACTTGACCACATTCTTATTACGTTTGTAGAACCTACAGGCATATGTAAAACCTAATTCATATGTTTATTTGAGTAGATCTAACCAATCTCGTTTAAGATTATTGTAAACGTGAAACACTTTTAAACCGTACGTTTCATTAAGTAGGCTATACGTAATGTTATGTGTTAAATGGCAAAAAAAAAAAAAACCAATAGTAATGCGAGCAAAAGTAGCATTTGGCTTTGAAGTGTCAAAATTTCGTCATTTTGTACGGGTCAAATGAAACTTAATAATCATACAATCATCATGTTTCTAATGATATGGCAATCGTCGATAGAAAAATTACAGAATCATGTGCATGTGTTGAATAACTGTTTTTAAGCTAATTAAATGTCTGTATAAAGCGTAGGCCTACGACGGGCCTACCGTAGTTTTTCGGCAGATTATACATATTTCATCAATAGCATTTCAATACGCGATTAATCTAATGGCGATACCCATACGTCAGAATCGTCGTCGCTCGTCAGAGGTCTTAGGACGTGAATCACTCATTTCCCGGAAGACATGGGGGTTGGTTTAAAAATATAAATAACAATATCAACGGTATGCATAATATGAATATTTTACCAAACCCCCCCCCCCCACCCACTCGACATATTTTTAATACGAATAACATTGTTAGGTATTTTGACAAATTAAATTTAAATACAATTATATCAACAAAAAAAAAAATTAAGCTTAACTTAACGGAATATGGTCAAGTTTCATGAACTTTTTGCTTGTGCAGAAAAAAAATTAAAATTCCGTCCCGCACAAAAAAGTTCATAATTGCAGTGGAGGTGCTACTAGGTGACTAATTATGGAAACAGCTGCTCAACAGTGGACGAGAAAGGTTTCGGGCCAGGTCCGTCCGCAGGTAGACTAGGGTTCAGATGCCAAGTTAGTGTATACAGAGAATGGAGAGAAATTGGAAAATTTTGTGTTTTGAGAGTCAAAAATGCAAAAATAAAACATTTCTTACTCTATGAAACCCCCCCGTAAAACCCCGCTTCCATGGTCCGATCATTCAAGATCATTTGACGAGAAAAGAAAACATAATATTCAGAGGAATCAAAATTTTGTTAAATAACGTAAGTGAATAATGTTATAGACTCTGAGGTTATAGTAAACCACTGTATTTGTTTAGCTTAGATTTCGTTTTAAGTTTTGACAATTTTGTATAACAACGTACTTTATTTGAACGTATTGAAATATTTATAATACAATTTAATAGATAAATTGAAATTCTTTTCCATTCTGCATATTTCCAAAAGTTACAACATGCATACTGTATTATAATACATTTTTATACACTCAATGTATTTTATAAAACCTCAATGAATTCCTAAAAAATACAAATTAAATATGCAAAAATAAAAATTAAAACTGCTAAAATGATTATTTTTTATTTTGAGACATTAAGAGTAATTATTATTAAGTACCTATATTGTCCGGTAAACCTATAGGATAAAAATATTACTGTATTTAAAAACAAAAAGTGAATAGTTAATAATAAATTGATTGAAAATTGTCTTTACTAACGACCCCTTGAGTGATATAAACACATGCATGAGGAGTTGAGGCGAGCGAAAACAGCGGTTCTACACTCTACAGCCGCTGATCTACGATAATGCAGTACAGTTCAAGAGACTAGTTCGACTGTAGGAGCAGCACCGTACTAGGTGCGAGTTTCGTGCATGGAATCACCCGTATGGCTGCCGCTCTGTTTTGTTTTATTACTCTGAGGTTCTATTTACTTTCAGATTTCAGTAAGATCAAATTTGTGTTTACATTTTACATTATACTACATTTTATCAGCATTTCAGATTCCTCTCAGGTAATTTATTAGGGATTGGCCGATTCCAATTCTCGATTTCTTCGATACCAGTGGTATCGAGGAATCGCCGATACTCGATACTTCGCTTCATTGTACTCGATACCGATTCTGATAAGTGAGATTATAGTACAAAACTCGACTGACGTTTAAGGTTGTAAAGAGTAACACATCATAGTTTATTTGGAATACTCTGAAGTTAGCTTAGAATAAATAATTCCAAGTTCATTAGCTCACATTTATAATAGTTATATATTCTAAAATAGCGTGCCTTTGCATTTCAAGAACACTAGTTGAATGCTTATTACTTGCTGCCATGTTGTCTGATCGAGGACAATGTTGCCAGATTGGCCAAATGGTACGAGCATTGAATATATAAATATAATTCAAAGTGTATATAGTTAAAAATGGTCTAGTGTAAATCGTGTTTTATAACTCGTGATAGGCTTTATGTGCATTTCATAAGCATCTAAAGAGCTTGACAACTTGTTGATCACAGTGTATAATATCATTAACTACAAACACACTTTGTGAGTATATACAGGGTTAGTAAAAAGTGTGGAGACCCCCTGTTATTTTTTTAACGGCCTATAATAGAAAAACCAAACTCGGCACACCATTATTGCATGTTATGAAGTACTTTTTGGGCATAACCGCCACTTGGTGTTCATCCCCAAAATGGGGGATTTTGGGGGAAACTAAAAAATTTCAAATACAAAGACCCATCGAGTGACCCCTCATTTTGAAGGTCATAATAAAATAAAACGAACAACGCAAACTATAGGTCTCTATCTTAACACAGTGAAATATGGCAGCCAATTTAATATAAAATTGCAAGTTATTTCCGATTTCTAAAGATTTCAATCAGATTCCATTTTTTACTGGATTGAGATAGAAGCCTCTAGTTTGCGTTGTTAGTTTTCTTTTGCCAGGACCTTCAAAATGAGGGGTCACTCAATGGGGCTTATCATTTAAAACTTTTGAGTTTCCCCCAAAATCCCCCATTTTGGGTTTGGTAAGCAAGTGGCTATTAGCATAGACTAAGCAACACAAGTAGACTCCTTATCCCATTGTAAATTTTGAAGCTTCTTTTTTGCGTCTAGTTCATGTACGTCCAAACTGATCGCTAGTGTAGACAACATTTTGTTTCTATTATTTTAGGGTTATTTTAATGATTTGTGCTTTAATATTTGGTTATATAACTAGGAGACCAGTTATTGTTTATGATTATATTGTTTTATTAGGTTAAACAAGGTTTTAAATTACTGCAATAACAAGAAACAAATTGTAAACAAAACATAACCTCTATAGTTGGACGTACAGAACTAACAATAAAATTGGCTTCAGCTGTTCCATTAGGATGACTAATCTACTAAGGGAGTATGTTTTATCTATGCAATTAGGCTTAAAAAATACTTCATAACATGCCAAAAAGGTGTGTAGAGTTTAGTTATCCTAGTGTGAGCCGCTACCAAATTTACAGCAGGTCTCCAGGCTTGGAAAGCTGTAAGTTAAATTTAACTTCTGAGAATTTCAATTGGCTGCCATTTTTTACTGGATTGAGAAAAAGACCTCTAGTTTGCGTTGTTGGTTTTCTTTTACCAGGACCTTTAAAATGATGGGGCCACTCGATGGGTCTTTGTATTTGAAATTTTTGAGTTTCCCCCAAAATCCCCCATTACTGGGGGATAAGTACACAGTAACCATATTTTTAAGGAAAACGAGTAAATCCAATCAGGCAAATAGAAATTTGCTTAGTCTGCAGATTTGCTGCGGCGGGGTATGTCTTTGGCTGATTGTATAGTATCAGCAGTTATAGTGAATTACAAATACTTTTCATCATTTTTCGTAGTGAAACGTATGTATAATAAATCGAGTTTTAATCATTCTTTTTGACTGGAGATTGAGAAAAGCCACTATTATGTGTACATTCTGCTTAAAATTTATAATAAAATGATCAAACAAAACATCATATATCGTACATCGTAGACATTGTAGACCTGTAACTGTTTGGAACTTTTGAGGGTTATACGAACCACAATAAAAAATTGTGCAAGGTTTTAATATTACTTTTAAGATACATAATACTTTTCAATAAAGTTCAATAAAGGCAGGGAAAACTGACTAAACTATTGGATAAATTACGTTCAGTGTTTAAACTTATGTGAAAGGTGGTACATTGGGAATAGTTTTCTGGGCAAAAACATTATGTAGGTAGTTTCAGAATGAACAGCCCGAAGCTCCTGGTGGAAGGACAGTTAATGATTTAAAAATGAAGTTCTCCCTTAGTTTAACAAGTGTTCACATATGTTAAACTTAAAGTTTTGCGAGCAAAGCCACAACGGGTTTAAATTAGATATGTCCAATTTTAGTTTAGTAAAAAGTACAGCAATTATAAAATAAAAAATAAAAACAATGGAACTCTTGTTTTTTTTGTCAGAATGTCAAGAATATATTGCATTCAAATGGATGAATTATTTTCCGAAAAAAGATTTTAGTTTAACTAACAGATGAATGCTTCCTCTGGTTTCACCATTTTTTTTTCTTTGTAATTTATCTCACTGTTAATATGCATTTACACTCAAATATATACAAAAATACCATCTTTATCCAGTTGTTTTTGTTGTAGGAATTCACTGAACGGAATCCTCACTGGGAAAACGATTGGCTGGCCAAAAGGGCCCGTGCTCATGAACAATGGGCTGAAGACAGGAGTCGGATAGAGGCAAATAGGGAGTTGATAAATAAACAGTTGACTAGTGAAACTTCCAATTCTCCTTCACAACATGGTCAACAGAGTAGTGATCCACTGAAAACTTCTTTAAAGTCAGACAAGTCTAAATTAGTGAAAACTGCAAGTGAGCAGTTAATGTCTGCGTTAAAAGACGAAAAGAGCCACTCGAAAGAGGCAATCAATAAGAGGAAGAAAAGAAGCAAGTCAAGTTCATCTAGTTCCAGCTCAAGTTCAAGCTCGTCTAGTAGTACGTCATCAGAAAAAAATGAAAAATCAGATCAACAAAGAATTAGAAAGCAAAATAATAGAGAGCGAAACAGAAGTAAAGAAATTGAAAAAAGTACTAGAGTGGGTGTAAAAAATAAGGAAAGAGATGTTGAACCAAAGTCAGATAAAATAACTGAAGTACCAAAGGTAAAAAGCAAATGGGATTCACCTGAAAAAGAATCGGCGAAGAACATTGGAGGAACAAGTTCATCGGCTGATGATAAAATGCTTAGAGAATGGATGGAAGTCAGCAAACTTAACCCAGATCAAGAAATTTTGAATCAGTTGTCAGATAGATTGAAACTCAAACAGCAAATTGATAAATCTATTGAAAAATTAAAAGAGCTTGAAAGGCAAAAATCATTACGTGAACAAAGACTGAAAAATCGACATGAAAGTAGAAGAAGAACTGTTGGTAGTCTTGAAAGGAAAAAACCAGACAGATTTAATAAAAATCAGGGCACTTTACACAGGTATGATAAGAAAAATGTTAAATCTGAAAGAGAATACAGTAAAAGCAAGCAAACTTCTAATAAGCGAAACACTAAAACACCAGAAAGAGACAGTAAAAAAGATTCTAAGGATTCTAAAGCCAAACACGAGGTTAGTAAGCAAAAACTTGACAGTCTGAAGTCCAAATCAGATTCTACTAAAACAAAAATTGATGAAAGTAAGTTGAGTGAGGAAATTGATGAGAAATCCAAAGAAGAACCTAAATTATCTAAAACTAAAGCGGATAAACCCCGCAAAGGAATGTGGGTTCCATCTAAAGGAATTTTCGGTGAGGATGAAGACAGTTCTGATAGCGAAGAAGAAAAATCTGATAAGCCTGTTGTTCCCAATTTTCAAAAGAAAGAGAAAAAAGTGATCTCTATCAATGTCTCCAAAACAAAACTTCCTTTTATAGGAAAGATGCCTTTCATGTCTAAAATAGGTCCCACTAAAAAGCCAGATGATATTTACTCTGATATTGACAGTAAAGATGTAAAACCAAACACAGAAGAATCACAAAATAATGCTGGCATTGATGAAAAGATATCTGAACAAAATATTTGTAGTCAGGCTCCTAAAAATGATTTAATTATCTCAGCTTCACCCAAAACAAATGAAGATACTTCAAAGTTATCTTCAACCCCTATGGTGTCCAAAGTTAATATCAAGGAAATTCAAAATAATTCTGTTTCCTTAAGCTCAGAAGTTCAAGATAAAAGTAAACCATCTGAACTAAACAAAGAATCTATTGTGCCAAAATCAACACTGATGTTGTCTAAAACTCCCTCGCTGTCACAGAGAATAGCAGAAGCTCAGAGTAAAGCCAGAAAAATGATTGAAGCAGCAACAATTAAAGCAAAAACTGAGCAACAGACTGATGGTCCTGTCGATATGGAAATCGACGATGATGACAAACCAGAAGAATCTCTGCCAGAAGAGTTTCAGCAAACATTGCAGTTACTATTTCCCACTGAGAAACCAGGATCACACATAATAGAGGAAGTTAATGAAATAACTCAATCCGAAAACAATGATCATTTACAAAAAGGAGATGCTATTCAAACTAACGTAAGTGACAAGTTGGCAACAATTAATGAAATTCAACTTCCCAGTACAACACAAGTTGGCCTTTCAGTTCAAAATATTATGTTGCCTGCCGACACAAACCATGATCAAACTTCCAAAATGGGCCCTGACATAGGAACAGGTTCAGTGCATCATCCTCAAATTGGAAATAGTGAAAGGCAAATGGGTCCAGGCCCAATAAACTCAGCGTCTATAGGTGCTGGACAAATGGATAATAGAGTTATTGGCCCAGGTCAGATTGATAATAGAATAATGGGTCCTAACCCAATGAATGATAGAATGATGGGTCCTAATCCAATAAATATTGGGCCAATGGGTCCTGGTCCAATGAATAATAGACAAATGGGCCCAAGCCCAATGGATGGTAGGCAAATGGGTCCTGGTCCAATGGGAAACATACCAACAGGTCCTGGTCTAATGGACAATAGACAAATGGGACCAGGCTCAATGATTTCTGGCCCAATGGGTAATAGACAAATGGGTCCTGGACCAATGGAAAACAGACAGATGGGTCATGGACCAATGGGACCAGGGCAAATGGGTCCAGGACCAATGGGACAACGGCAAATGGGTCCAGGACCAATGGGACCACGTCAAATGGGTCCAGGACCAATGGGACCACGGCAAATGGGTCCAGGACCAATGGGGCCTGGCCCAATGGAGAATAGGCAGATGGGTCCAGGGCCAATGGAGGGTAGGCAAATGGGTCCAGGTCCGATGGGGCCTGGACCGATGGATAACAGGCAAATGGGTCAAGGGCCAATGGGACCAGGGCAGATGGATCAAGGTCCAATGGGACCAGGGCAAATGGGTCCAAGACCAATGGGGCCTGGACCAATGGATAATAGACAGATGGGTCAAGGCCCAATGGGACCAGGTCCAATGGGGCCTGGACCAATGGATAACCGGCAGATGGGTCCAGGGCCAATGGATAACAGGCAGATGGGTCCAGGGCCAATGGATAACAGGCAGATGGGTCCAGGGCCAATGGAGGGTAGACAAATGGGTCCAGGTCCGATGGGGCCTGGACCAATGGATAACAGGCAAATGGGTCAAGGTCCAATAGGACCAGGGCCAATGGGTCCAAGACCAATGGGTCCTGGACCAATGGATAATAGGCAGATGGGTCCAGGACCAATGGGACCAGGGCAAATGGGTCCAAGACCAATGGGACCACGGCAAATGGGTCCAGGACCAATGGGACCACGGCAAATGGGTCCAGGACCAATGGGACCACGGCAAATGGGTCCAGGCCCAATGGGGCCTGGGGGGCCAGGAATGAGACCAATGGGGCCAGGGCCTCGGGGTGCCCCTCCACCCCCACCACCAAGGTTTCCTGTAGGTCCACAACCAGACAGTTCTAACGATGAATTTAAGAAGAAAAACCCTCCGTCACAGAAAAAACGTCAACTAATGAAAAAGCGGAGAGAAGAACTAGAATCTAAACTTCAGCACTTGCAGCAACTTGCTAATAAGCAAAAATCAGCAAAAGAAGAAGAGGAGAAGAAAAAGGCCCGAGATGAATTGGCAATGCTTGGAATTGATGAAGATGATTTGGCAGCACAAAAGCTAAATTAAATTTTGTTAGTGTACGATCAATGCATTTTGTGTCTTGCATAGCTGAACTTTGAATGCTTTGTCAGTTCCTAAAGGTTGTATAAGTACCCCTTTATACATCTGACTAACTGTATTTTTACAGTTTCTTTGTAATAATGCCGTTTAATATTTTACGTAAATATTGTTTATGGTTTTATCCTGTAATCTTTTGTGAATAATTCATTTAGCCTTATAGGTTCTTTGTTAGATTAACCCCTGAAAGTGGCTTTAGTTTTGAACTGCCCCCAGTATCGTGTATATGTCTGTAAAATCTGATTTAGGTTAGTCTTAGAATCTTATTATCTTTATTAATAAAACAAAATAAAATTCTTCATGTGGTTATTTTACCTCTAAAGTGTAAGTGCTAAGCCAATGTAATCTCTTTACTACATATATTAGCCTTTGGTTTTAACTACAAAACTGTTATAGTTAATAATTTAAACTTAAATATTTTCTAGTATATTTTATTATACCCTATTAGTGTTTTTTTAACAGGCTTCAGTTTAGTAATGGTGAGAGTTCAAGAGGCAGTTTTGGTCCATATGGTAGATATATACCTATTCATATTGTACCATTCTTTTTGCTGATTGGCAACTAATGTGTTGTATACTGTTAACATTTAAAGTTGGCTCCCAAGATCGCTTCAATCTTGTTTTTATATCATAAAATTAGCTGTTGAAGAGTATTTAACTTCGATCTGGTATGCTCTTGTACAGAATACTAACTATTGCAGTTTGTGTATTTAATGTCACACTAGAGTATTGATTGCGATAAGAAATGCTTCAAGTGCACAGGTTCTTGAAGCAATATTATTATTTAGATTAGCAGAATAGTTTAATAAAAGGGCTCTATTCACATGTTTCCTTTAGTTTAAAACACTATTATATGAAACCACATTAAAATATATAAAACACAAAGAACAAAAATCTATTATAGCAATCGAACGCCCCTCAACACACTCCATTATTTAAAATCAAAGAGTGAGAATATACAGCTGATGTCCTTGGTTCAAGCTGGTTGTGTTCTCTGAGACAACAATAATTACCTTAGTCCTTTTACTCATTATTGGAAACAGCTGTTAATGCTGTTGCGCAGAGGTGTAGTTGTAAATTTTCTAGTGCAGGAACATTTTAGATCATCTCAGGAAAAACACGGATCGCGTATTAATACATAGGATTTTTCGAAAAAGAAGAGTATGAACTGTTCCCATGAGTTCATGCTCCACTACAACAATACTGCTGCACAAAAACAACATTTCAATCCAAGATGTATAGAGTGTGGTAGGGCGGCCACGTGCCACAAGTTGAGAATGAACCAAACAAAAAGCATGATAATTTTGTACAAGAAACCAGTTACAATAAACAGCCCCTAAATATGTTCCAGTTCCAGATCCAAGTTGTTGACACTGTTAAACAGTGACGTCATCACTCAGTCTTCCACAGTACACATACTACCTACCATGTTTTCTGTGAGTCTACCCACCTCCTATACTCCATACATTTTGGTTGTAACCATCCTTTCTTTTAAAGTTATCCAGTTTATTTGTAGCTTAATGTATTACTAAAAAGTTTTTTCCGCATCAGATTTGAAGAGTTGACACTTAAGACTTCAGGAATTTATTCAACGCATCTGTTTTTGTCCTCAGTAATTTCAATTTTAACTTAAATGTGGGTTTTGCCAAGTTTCTTCTATTTATTGGTGTAGATATTTATTGATGTACAGGGCTTAAGATCTTTATACAGTAAGTACAGTAGACTCCCTCTTATGCGGACTCCTCGGGACCGAGGCCAGTCCGGATAACGGTTTTTCCGGTTAAGCCGACGTCCCCAAAAACTCATTACAATGGACCGTTTATTCGACTTAAATCTAGGAGAGCATTGTATTTAGACATGTGATCACTATGGTCTCAAATCTTTCCCACGAGAACAGTCGTTACACTACCGCCCACTTCCTGCCGATCTATTCCGGTTAAACCAATGTGCCGATAATAATTGTCCGGATAAAGAGATGTCATTTCCGTCAACTGAAGTCCGGTTAAAAGGTGTCCGGATGAGAGGGAGTCTACTGTACATAATTGATTTGTTGGAACTATTCGTATTTCCAATTAATTTTCAAGTGCTTTCACTTTAAGAGGACATAGGAGAGTTTTAAATAATTCCCTCCCTTGTTCCACATTTTTAAATCTGTTGATATCTGACCATTATTATGTAGTTTACTATTCTAGATGAAAAAATAAGAAGTAACTTTTGTAGTTCTAGTCATTTTTTTCTAATTTTTGACCCTCTAAACATAACATTTCCCAATTTCTCTCCAGAACTTTTTAAAGAGCTTAGAAAAACAAATATCAACGTGTTTTGTACAATTATTGGTTAAGGATAAGTTATTAATATTTTACTAAAAAAACACTTATTTTACCCTCACTGTAGCAGCAAGCCTATGTACTCATAAACCCTAATGTTAATTAAATACATTTAGCCTAATTGAAAATCAATTCAGGCAACTGGAAATTTGCTTAGTCGGCAGGTTTGCTGCGGCAGGGTTATTTTATTCTTATTCCCACCTTAACTGTGGTATTATTCACATTACATTCAATACAAATTGTAGAGACAATCATTACATAATCTCTTGCAGGTTAACTTTGCGGTGGTTAAAAACACTGGATTATTGTGAAAATATTTATTTCCTTAAGTAATTCAGAATCAGGAACATTTACAGCATTCACTTGTTAATACTACGTCATATATAAATAAAGTACAAATATTTTGATCGAATGGCAAATAGACTCAAGTCATTACATTTTTTTAAACCTTTTGATTTAACAATCATTTTTCTCTTCACTCCAACACAGATCCTGGTTTTAACATGACTTAACTCTTCAAACACAATCAACAACACTTCACAACTAGTGCCCTTATCAACAACTGTAAGGCAGCGTATACTATTTACAAATGCAGTCTTTATAGTTTCAAGGTTGGTACGCCTGGTAGAGGATGGGCGAGCTGCCTGTTGGCTGCTGTGCGTAGCCGATGGCTGAGGCCTTAGGCTTGGCAGGTGCGGCTAGGCGGTGCTGACCTGAGTAGGCTGCCAGGCCTGAGGCCGCTGGGGCCGCCTTGGCTACGTACTGGGGTGCAGCCTGGGCGTATTGTGGGGCTGCTCCGTACTGTGGGGCGGCTGCGTACTGGGGCGCAACATAGGCTACTGACTGTGGCCTGTACTGGGGTGACGCTACTGCTGGTGAAGAAGCCTGGAATGACATTTATTTCTGTTTAGAGTGTTTTCTTATAATTCCAGTACAATTCAGATTTCTTTTGTCTGTAACCTTTCATCGTGCAGTTTGTTTTGGAATACGTATTGATTGGATACTGAAGAGTTCTTCTTTTTGTCCTGATTGTATTTTCTTATTGTTGATCAAAGGAGGTATCTCAAGATTACATAGACTATAACAGCCAGAATTTTATTAGTTAGGCGTATCTTACTAGATCGGTGTTATAACTAAACGATCTCGAGGAAAAAATTATAAAAGTTATTTCACTAGCAAAAAGTGCTCTTTTCATGAGTGTTATAATTGTTTTGAGTTGGTTGAGTTTGTCAAATTTTATGAAATATTTGTTGGTTTTTAACTAACAAAAAACCTGAAAAATCTCTATTCTCTTTACTCATTTCAGTTTAAAAGAATCATGTAACATTATTTTCTGGTTTCCTAATCCAACTATTGTGGGTAAACACAAATTCTATGAATACTTACTCAACTAATCTCTTTTCTTGAACAAAAATTATTTTTGTGTTGGGGATCAAATTATATTATTGCTTCCAAGAACTATCATGAAGAAAAGTACCTACCTCTAGATACTGTTGTGTTTGCTGCTTGCGTAGAAGCTGCTGAGGAATCTGCTGATATTGCTGAGGCAGAGCTGCAGGTGGCTGAGGGAGCTTCACTCTGATTTCTGTTGGCTCTCGACTAACCTCAGCCTTGAAACCCTGCAATGTTCACTGTCATGAGATCCTATGTTCATTGTTCAAGTAATGCTGCAGAACAGGATTCTCAATATTTTAGCTTAGTATTGACCTTGACTTTGGTACTGCAATAAACTACTTATACCATTTAAAAATCTATTGCCAGTCAAGATATGCAGGCTCATATTCTATGCCAATTTTTGAAGGGGTTGTGTAGATTATTAATCTTATAGGGTACTGTAGAGTTAAAAATTCCCTTTGTTTATAATTATAATGAGTGATAGAATCCACATTTCTCAGTTAATGTTTTTGTATTAATAGTGATTTATTTACCTTGTTTATTCGTCCCAGCTCGGAAACCACTATTATTACCTATATTTGTCTTACTAGCTCAGGGGCAAACCACAACAATGAGTATTGTTTTTGGTGGAACTGATACTACAGGGTGTGTTTAAAAAATCATCATCCTATTAAACAAAAATCATAGCTACCTACTCATCTATGCATCCGATTTGATCGAACAATATACCGTTAGAAAAAGGAAGTTATAGAGTTTCACAGAAAATATCCAAAAGTCCAATTTTCAAATTGCAACCCCCCAAAAATCAAAAATAGCTGACATCTGAAAACGACAATACAGGTTTTTTTTAAACTGCTATAACTAGAACGTGGTAAGAGATAGCAAAGATTTGAAAGAATTTTCATGGTTGGGAATTAAATTTTTTACAAGACACTCTTAGGAGTTTTCCGATAATCGCACCCCTTCACCTCCAAAAAACACCCTTCTTTCAAAAATTGGCATTTATTTTCAATTGTTTTCACAACTTTTATCCACCCAAGTAAATTTTTATTGCAAGTTGCACATATGCTGTGCATCTAAAGGGGGCCATATTGAGCATCTGTAAATGGTATGTAAAAAACTTTATTAGTTACTCTTTAATGTATAATTAACCTCATGTCCATAAGAGTATTAGTTTTCAAATTATAAACCTGCAAAATTATTCAATTTTGCAGGTTTATAATTTGAAAACTAATACTCTCATTCGATTCTTTTTGAAACACCCTGTACATTTAATGCACTAATGACCCAATCTGTTATAATATAATTGTTTGCTTAGGGACACCATCGATTATATTTGTAAACTTAATGAATACAAACTTACTTTTTATTAAAAAGATTATAAAAGAAAGCTTGAGAAGTAATATATTTTACTATGATATACTACCATTTTAAGATTGTACTTTTATCAAAGAAAAAAAAATTAATACTGTATAGTGTCTAGATGTGACACTACAAGCTCAATTTTGATATGATACCATGAGCTTTTAGGAGGTTGGAAAGATCTTAAAGGGGTCGAATTTATCTAAATATCTTGGTTTTAAGTCATTATTGTAACAATTGTCCCTGTCAACTTAACTAGCTTTTCATCAAATTGACTAGAAGTACCATTTTCAATGGGGATTTCATTTAAAACTTCAATACAGCACTTTTTTTAATAAAACAAATTGCTGACAATAGTTGTATTCTTACTTTTCAGTGTTCTACTGTCATCAACAACCATTAACATTTCATGTTCAGGAGTAGTAAGGTTATATCTCTGGATATTACAACTTTCAATGATGTTGATGTGTATTACCTCCTTGGGGTCGGCTGTGTATGTGACAGTCCTAATGTAGCCATCACTGTCCACCACACTGTAGCTGCCTGAGATCTTGTCTCCTTCCCTCTGCTCCTTGCGATTCTGGTAGTTGGTGAACTCATCGTCCTTCACGTCAAAAGAGAACTGGTACGCTGGGTTGGGCTGCACATATTTGTCAATGTTATGAGCACGCTTGATCAATTGTATTAGAAAGAAAATATAGGTTAACACATTTTTAAATTTTTTTTTATTAACAGGATGTGTTAAGGGTTAAAGTGAAAGGACCTAGCAGAAGGCCCCAAGAAGGTTCATTGCGTAAGATCTGAAAGTGTTGACAGACACACTTTAGGGTGTTTGGTCGTAAATTTTCATGTCTGATTTTTTATTATTGTTCAATGATTGTACAAAAAATTAGAGATACAAATATATATAAGAAATAAACGGTATCAGCATTCTGACACATACTTTCTCCCATAAGTTTGTCAAAAACCTTTATCATGTGTAAGTGGTGAGAGTAAATAACTGTATACTCAAATGAGATTTGTACAATTTTGTTCAGAATTTAAAGGATTATAACATGCTAAATTTTTATCAAAATCGTTGGGCAATTTTTGGGAAAATCCGATTTTTCTGTTATTTTAAGGGGGTTTTATGGTAAAATGACATATCCTGCTTAGTATTCAAAATAAAAATGTCATCAGTAGTAAAATGTTCATCTTGGTACCAGTTCACAGGGAGAATGGGTAATGCGATTTTTACCAAAATTGGCATTCAGGTGTAGAAAATAAAATAATAATCACTAGCTTTTTATAATTATATTTTTTTTTAATTTTGTTTTATAAAAAATTTTTAAATTAACATTATTTTTAATTTTTATGTTTTTTTGGGGGGAAATTTATCTGTATGTTGGAATTAAAAAAAAAATTTGATATGTCAACTCGTTTGGGTCGTGAGTTTGTACCTTTGATGACTTGCGTTGTCGGAGCACTACTCGTTGAGAGTGTGTATACTAACACCGGGGCTGTAGAATACTTTAACATCACGTAATTATTAACATCTTTTAACATTGAAAGAATATGTTTATCGTTTTATTCTAAAGCCCCGTTGTTAGTGTACACACTCTCAACGAGTAGTGCTCCTACAGCGCAAGGCATCAAAGGTACACAGCCCAAACGAGTTAACATATCACATTTTTTTAAATTCCGACATACAGATAAATTTTCCCCAAAAACAAACAGCTATTTTGAACATTTAAAAAAATGTTAATTTTGTTTATATAAAACAAAATAAAAAATATATAATTATAAATAGCTAGTGATTGTTGTCGTATTTTTCCACACCTGAATGCCAATTTTGGTGAGAATCGCATTACCCATTCTCCCTGTGAACTGGTACCAAAGAAGAAAATTTTACTATTATAAAGCCCATATCTCGCTTAATATTCAAAATAAATATTATAACATTTGTATCTCAAATTTTTAAACTGAACAATAACAAAAGATAAGACACATACAATTTTTGACCAAACACCCTTAAAAGTTTAACAGACTGCCGCACATTGGACAACATTTGTTTACCTTGACCGTTTTCAGTTTCTCAGTTTTAACTCATTGGCATAAGTTGCAAAAAACCCATTGGCCACTATTCCTTCCATAAAAATAGAATCAGAATACAGAGGTATCATATGCATTCATACGTCATATACAGGAGGATACAGGATATATTTCATAATCAGGAATGTAACTAAAAGAAAAATGAGGAGCCAAAGGTGCAGAGTAATCTGGCGCTTTCAAAACAAATTTTAAGTAGTTTAAAAACTGTTATCATAACATTTTTTACTCACTAAGCTATGGACTCAACGATTAGCCTATATTTATACATTGGTTGAATACATTTTTGCACCAAGAAAATAATTTACTTTTAAGATCATTGCCAAAAGATCGTTTCTTTTCCTTTAGTTGTGACCGGATCCTACAGGCAGTTCTCTTTCGTGACAATTATATAAAGACCAGTCTTTTAAACCGGCTCAAAACGGAAACGACCTTGGTACAGATTTTGTCCGAGATCACGTGGTCAGGAGAGTGACCGGAAGTGCAAGTATAGGGAAAGTTGTGTAACTTTCTCTGCGGACAGAGGCCTTTGGTGGTCCCTCATGTAATCGTTATGTAAGTGACTAGCTGTTAATTGGAACACATTCCTTGTTGGTAAAGTAAGTGAATGGAGTAGGCCTAGAGCCTGCGTGTAAACGGGACGACAAGGAATGTGAGCAATAACTACGAATGTTAAAAGGCATACCTTGTTGCGTCTACGACAACGTAAATGTCATAGATGAAACTCTTGAAAATTGGCAAAATTTATGGTAAATCTACAAGACTTTTTAACAGCCTGCGTAAGCAAACAAGCATTTGCCAAGAATATCTTTCAATTTACTAATAACTTAAAAATAACACCATTGATTATGCACCTAAACATGTACCTATACAAAGCCAATCACACTCATAGATATTCCTAGAAAGAAATTGTAAAGAATACGATGTAACCAAACTGAGCCAAACATTATCTGACAGATCAATTCAGTCGAAAACGATGTGTTGCTACAAGGGAATCTATTTTCCTCGTAAGTGGAGCTAACTTATTACTTGGTTATGACACTCCTTTCACTGTTCCCATCGAAATATCACACTCGTTTCGCAACCTTTCTCTCACTTCCGTGGGCGGGCCCGAACCCTGTAAACTGTATCAGTATGGCTACAGGACTATTGCGTCATTCGTGGTCACGAGAAACAAATAAAATGTCATTTGGAGTACGTGTAGTAGTAATTTAGATTAAGATCTTACTTGGTGGATCAGCCTTTATCGAAAAATTACGTTGCTTGACCACCACATGCATTTTATTAGCTACACCTCTTTCGTGTTATTAGTCGTAGCATCAACTTTGAATGAATAGTGTAAGTGTAGACTTCCTATCCTGTTGTAAAAATGAACTGTGTTTCTCTTATTAAGTATCCATTTAATAAGTTACATTTACCACGTGATGCTTTTCTCCTTAATTATGATAACAGAGGACAAGCATTAAACACATTGTAACTAAAACTAAGCACAACTATTTTTAGCTTCATTGTGTGTATAGTTGTGCTCAGTTTAGTTTCTTTGTGCCTTTGCACATTAAGTGGAAAAAGTGGTTGGTCCTTTGGCCTCCAGAAACGTAGGATAGCCAGAACACTTAAGAAAGTCCGTTGAACTAAAATTTTAAAAGAGTGTTTCTATGTATTAGAGAAGAAGCACAAGTATATCATAATGCCTCAATCATTTTGTATGTCATTTTAGGTTTATTTACTAGGTTTAGATTATTAAGTTCGTTTCATGAATGTGGTGGATAGTTTTCATGAAATTAGAGAATCAACAAAACAACTCTTCGAAACAATGCAGTAAGGTGTACATATAGACAACTATACATCCATGAATATAACATTACGCAAGTATCACCTATCAGCAGACAACGCCATATCGGGACGCGGATGGTGCATGCGCTGCGCTGCTAGGTAGCGATACTGTGCTTGCGCAATACATTTCTCCATTGCGCAAGTGCTGATCGCAATGCTTTCACTGTGGGAACTCTGTTGACATTGGGAAACGTAACCCGACGTCAGTGAGGTCACGGACTCGTGATAGTTGGCCAGGGAACACGATAGTTGAGTCACATTAGAGTACCTATGTGGATATTCTGTGGTGGCTGTTGGCCGTTCTATGCGATTTATTCTTCTTCTCTAAAATATCGAAACTTTGAGAGTCTTTTGAACGTTAGAACTGTGGATTTTGAATTTTTCATAAAAAAAGTTTGGTAGTTCTAACGTGGTATTAGTTTTGTAATTTTTTGGATTTCATAAATTGGTAGACCTACGATCAAATCAATGTAAAGGGGCTCAGCTTCATTCCAAGCGGGATTTGTTTGTAAAATATAGGGGCTTAGTTATACATTTGCCTCAGACAAATTCAATGTTAAGGTGATGAAAATTTATTTTTAGATTTTTTAGACACAACTTTAAATTTGATTTGTGGCCCGAATTACCCCGGTCTAGACGTCTAAAAGGGCAACCATCTTCTGTCAGAGTGATGTATGACGGTGGCGACCACTGACGCAACGTTAAAGGTCGACTAGAAACTATGCGACTGAAGAAACTGTGCTAAAATTCGCGAGTTATAATTATGTTATTTTGACGTTTACCTAAACCTAAACCAACTGAGAGGAGTGTTATGTGTTATGTGCCTATAAAACCCTAAAAACTATTGCCTATCTCACTAAGGCTTGTGGAGACTGTTTGATTGTTTGTATTTTGCTGACAATGTTTAAGGTGTCAGAAGTATTAAAGTGAACTTAGATTGTATTTTGGCCTTTGTGTATTTGGTGATAAGTTAAGTATTGGGTGATACTGTTATGTGAAATAATTGTTACAAACCTAGCAAATAAGATAATAATATTATTGCTCATTTATATAGCTTTTTATATGTGTTTCGTGGACTAAGCTAGTGCTTCCAAACTCAATACTTTTAGGAAGACAAATTTAAAATACAATACTGTACCGGTATGCAACTCTTATATCATATGAGTGTATGTGTCGACGTCGACACATAGTATACGATATCCTGTCATCCTGGGGATAATGTAGTGCTGTGTGGGTCATACAGAGCAAATTACTTGTTACGTCCATCGCTGACAGTGACATTTAAAGTTTTCCTCAAATCAGACAGGGCCTTGAATTTATTCTTAGAAAGTCTTTACAATTCCGATCTTTTATAATATATAAATTAACTGTGTCGAGCACGAATCTTATGTTCTTGTGGATGCAGTACATCATCTACTCTAGGTGTAGAATCCGTTGTTGCATCACAAACCACGAAGATCAAGATTTGTGGCCCGAATTACCCCGGTCTAGACGTCTAAAGGGCAACCATCTTCTGTCAGAGTGATGTATGACGGTGGCGACCACTGACGCAACGTTAAAGGTCGACTAGAAACTATGCGACTGAAGCTGAAGAAACTGTGCTAAAATTCGCGAGTTATAATTATGTTATTTTGACGTTTACCTAAACCAACTGAGAGGTGTGTTATGTGTTATGTGCCTATAAAAACCTAAAAACTATTGCCTATCTCATTAAGGCTTGTGGAGACTGTTGGACGAAATTCAACAAAATTCTCAAGGTGTTAGAAACGATTAAATGGCTTGTTATATAGGTAACCCCGCTATAGTGTTTCTTGCACATAGCAGGAAAATTATATTAGTCAAACTACTGGTCAAGGTAACATTGACTCATTTTGACTTTGAACAGAAAACGTCGACAAATAGAAGTTTCTCTCATAGGGTGTCGGGAGTGAATCAATTCTACACTGTATTCGTTATAGTAACAGGAGCTCCTTTTTTCGCAGGTATGTTATATGCTAGGACACCCTGGTTCGTTCCAAATCTTGACCGGTAAAATATATGTTTACTATAGACAGATTCGCGTTTCGATCAAACACTCATGTGGTTTGAAATAAATGTTCAAAGCTAATCTTTACAAAGCTAAAGTCATTTACACTAAATTTCTAATTAAACTGTTTTCTTTTAAGGCACTGAGGCTCATGGTGTACGGGAAATACTGTAGCCTCCGATGATACGTTTCATAGCCTGGGGTATATTTTAAAATACCACGATTTGAGTAGCCACGGAAAGTTCAAGCTACTCACGTCATAGTCTTCAGGTTCCTTCTCAGGGTCGGCTGCTAGAGGGCGAACTTTGCGGTACTGAAGGGGTGCAGGCGCTGGCTGAGCGCTGTACTGGGGTGCGGGCCTGTAGTAAACAGGCTGAGGCTGGGAGCCGACGCTGGAGCTGAAGGACTTGTAGCTGCTAGCCTGAGGAGCGGGCTGGGCTGGCTGGTAGGCAGACGCTGCCTGCTGCAAGAGGAAGGAAGAAATACATTACAGTACAAAAAGTAAAATACTGGAGTTACTAGTGTATTTCAGTATGAAATACAAATGGAACAGTTTAAAATTTATAACTCGTTGGACGAAGAATTTAGTATGGTGGTTATGGCCCCATATTTGATAATTATTCGCCTTTTCCTTCTTCTAGTAATATTCAAGATGTCGTTAAAACACAGATTTCCCTTAGTAGAATCATTGATTGAATTGTAAAGTTCATTGCCAGTACAAACAAAAAAGTCTTTACATTCTAGTCATTCAAGGTCTCAATTCATCTAAGCTTTATTAAGAACTGCTTTCTCATGGAGAGGATACTTTTGTTTGGAAACAATTTGTTGTAAAGATTTGCAGAGAAAAGAAGATGCGATGGCAAGACCTGCCGGCGGCTTGACAGAATGCGTTCCATCATTGTAAGCCTATATAATTGGGGGGGGGGGGGGGGTAGATACAAAACAATATATAGATTGTATAGAAGCAAAACAATAGGCCTACTGTGCCTTGTAATTGAACCATTCTCTCAGTAAAGAAAAATATTGAAAGGGTTCTAATTAATTCTACAATTTATTAGTTTTTCGTCATTCAAACTTGTGGTAAAGTCAGCAACCAAAGAATTCAACATGACTCAATTTCAAGAAGTAACATTTCTTGCTTTATTACTCAGAATGCTATCGATATTTTACAACGATCACTCTGTGAAATCTTTCTCGGGGCGAAGTAAAAAAATATACGTACAGGAAGAACTTTTTATGAGAATTTTTATTGGAGGAGAAGACCTAAGAGAATTTTAGGTTGACAACCTCGTCTACAACTAAGTTAATAAATAATAATCACTTCATCAGACATACCTGGTAGGCAGTGTTGTATGCTTGTTGGTAGGCATCGTTACCAGCCTTGATATAGGCTGGGTTGCCAGCCTTGGCATAGGCTGCGTTGCCAGCGGTGTGGTAGGCCTCATCCCCCGCCTTGATGTAGGCTGCGTTGCCAGCCTTGATGTAGGCTGCGCTGCCAGACTTGGCGAAGGCTGCGTTGCCAGCGGTGTGGTAGGCCGCATCCCCCGCCTTTAGGTAAGCTGCGTTGCCAGCGGTCTGGTAAGCCGCATCCCCCGCCTTGATGTAGGCTGCGTTACCAGCGGTCTGGTAGGCGTCGTCCCCTGCCTCCTCGGCTTGGTGTAGGGCGTACGCCTGTCGCGCCCTGGGCGCTCCTGCGGTCTGCTGAGCCGCAACATACTGGGCGAGCTGCTCCTGCGTTACAGCTAGGGCTCCGGCGCATCCCAGTGCCAAAAGTATACACAACTGTAACAAAGAGAGGTTTTTAACTACGCCGATACCTTCAGCTTGGATCGTTTTGCGAGCTATTACTTAATCTTTTAGAGGTCAGTGGCCACATTTTACTATGTCTCTCCACATGGACCTCAGAGAAGTGTGCTTGCATCCAAATCATGCAAAGAGTGAGCCGGTACAGTACACGAACTGCATTAATATCATTGACTTTATTATTTATAGAATGTTTATAACTGCAGTAGTGGCACTGAAACGCGAGCACACGACATAGTTGCCCTTTATTTCACAATCCATTAAAGAATCGAGTGGTTTTACTCATAACACAACGATATTGTCTTTAAATGTAACCACAGAAGCCTTCCTACTTTAAGCTTTGTTTATATCCAGAGGCCTTTTATTTGTTTGATATGAGAATCATTTAATGAATAATAGTATGTAGTTTCAACTAACCCAACATGACTTGTTGCTGTTAATTATTTTTTGCTTTGTTTACCTACTACTTATAGATATGTCATATTATGTCAAGAATATTATGAAGGGAAAGTAATGCAAATCGGGCATTTTATAACAATGTTTTTAGCAACATAATGTTTTTTAGATTTCAAACACCATAACATCCCGTTCTAATGTCCCGATGTTGCTGGTTCACAAAACCATAAAAGTGTACCAAACCTTCATGCCAAATTTCATCGAAATCAGACTAAGTACACGGACACAAAATATTTATATATTTGTTTTGCCTATGGGGACACCAAAATAAAAAAGTAAATCGATCCTGAGTCTAGGTCTTACCGTTCCACCTACAGTAATAGCTTCTTCCAAATAATGCAAATTTTCGGAAACATTTCTTAATACTGTATCTCAAACCCGATGCAATTCTTGCTAATCCTTAAAACAAGCCCTGTTTCTCTAAAATCACAAATTAGGACCTTAAATTGGACCACTACAACTTATGAAATTTTTTATAGTTCAATATTTTTTTTTTTATGTGCTAGTTTAATAACTATTTTAATATCTAGTTTTGATACATATCTTAATCTTGGATTAATACTTTATCCTCGATGTCGTTTTATGAACAAATATCTCATACAAGAAAAGGCTGAAAGAACTTTGAGACTGTGTTTCTATTGCGGAAGACTTGGGATTCATCTGATAAGGATATTACAAAAAGTGGGCGGACCGATTGTAATAAGGAGAAAGTGCTTATTCAATCACACGAATTAATAACTGGCTTGACCCCGCAACACGCAAACTAAGATCGCTGCCAGAGCCGCATATAATGTCCGTTATACACTTTAAAGTGCATATAACCTTTAGTTGGTCTTTGTAACCTTGTAAAACCTTGGAATATGACTTAACAAATAAAAATACGTTTTTAAATAAAATAAGTACCGGTACACACCCAATTTCAATATTTATATAATACAAGCCACTAACTTAATATTTGCAACGGTGTGAAGACGCGTAAGGGAAATTTTGTACTTTGTATATACTACTGTATATGGTGTAGTTACAAATCTACCATTGATTTTAGAGACAAAATTCAACTTATTTTGATAAAAGTCTGTTTATGTTTGCTCAGATAAGTTGTGAAAACGTCTTTGACAATATACAAATTAGTTTCCTTCAAATCAAGATTAATATACCTGGCATATTAAATAATCAAGAAACAAATGGCAATTGCATAGTATATTCCCTCCTTTGTGCAAATTCGGAAAAAATGGGTTTAGAACGATGTTACTAAAGAACTATGAAACCGTTACGGTATTTCCAAAACGCAAGCAGTCTCCGATACGGTTTGAGCAACAAACTTCTTTACTTTAGTTTTTTCTCAGTGTTCTTTTCTTAAGTTTGTTTTGCAGACTTCTTTATTTTCAATTAGTTTTCAAATTTAGTAACTTTGGATTCTATGCAGAATTTCTTTCTAGTTCCTTCTACAATCCTTTTTAACTTCATATTCGTCTACAGATTGCTTTACTCCTTATTCTCTCTATACGTAGTATAGACTTCTCAATACTTTCTTCAAAGAATGTAATCTAGTAACTATGGTAGTGTACTAGCAACTAGCAACTACAAGAACTATAGTGGTTGGTTCGGTCAAGGATAGTTGCAAATGTAACCACGACCATTCTCAACATAGCATCCTCTAGCTTAAAAGGTCACAAGGAGTTGTGAGTTGTAAGCCGTCGTGAGTTTCAGGATAACTGATAACTAACTTACGGTTATGTCATTGAGACGTATGACCTTATAATTGTGCGGGATGGATACTTCAGAGATGCCATCGTACAATTACAACGTATTATTTGTGCACTCATAGATTATTGATCGAAACGCGTAGCAAAGCAATTATTTATTCTTTGATAGATTCGTATTAAAACTTAGTTAAATTACCCTGGGTTGAACTAATTAATTCCAAGCAAAATGAATTATTATGCAAAATACATAAGAATGCCTCTGTATTGTTTTTAGCAGTAAAATTAGCAAGGTTGTGTTTATTATTAAATCAAACTACCATTCAGTGTTAATTAATTCGATGTTGTTTTTATACCGCAAAGAAAGTTATAAGACCCAGTACTTTTACGCATCATATAATAGATGTAACTTAAGTTTTAGATATGTAAAAACCATCAAACTAGAGAATATTTTCTTTCTTTCTTTAGAATGCATGATGTAATTGTGTATTTAAAAATAATGAATGCGAATTAAAACTATTAAAAGTAAAAAGAAATCCATGTGTTCTGTTTACAATGTATGACCATAGTATGCGAAATAATAAAATTTATGATTACTCATAAAATGCCCTAATTACAAACACAGTAATAAGGTATTCAAAGGTTACTTTAATTTAAAATCTTTTGTAGGTTGATTTTAGAATATTGATTTTTGTGTATTATAAAAAAAAAACTAAACAAAACCTTTACTTTATTCACTCAATACATGTTAAATTTTCTGAAATGAATTATTTTCTCCCTTAATTTCAACTTATTTTCTTGCAAATTGTAAATCATGATTTTTTTTTATTTACCAAAATAGCAAAATAAACTTTATAACAATTCATTATTAAATAAATGATTTTACAACTAATAAATGCTAATTATCTGTAAGAAAGTAGGTTACCTTGATCATGGTAGTCCTGGCACATACACAGCTAACACACAGATGTCTGTGTCGAAGGTGCGGGGGGTTTTATACCTCGGACCGTCGTGGGAAGGGAAGGCTCAGAGAAAAGACGAGTCTAACCCCCCCCCCCCCCCTCTACGTCCCCCCACAATAAGAGAGTTACAAAGCTAATTGTAACACTATATTATTAAATAAATACACTGTTGTCCTGTTACAAATTAATTTATGTAAAATTATATACTTTTTTATTTAATTATCCGAATGAGACACATCTGAAATATTGAAATAAAAATATACAATTAAAATATTTTATTTACCATAAAATAAATTTGAAATGTCTGTCTGCCTTTCTAAAACGTCAAAACTTCTTACAAGCCTAGATTTACAATATTGTTCTTTTTGTTTAGATATTAACAAAGGGTTTCGCTTTCAGGCATGTTGAATCTATAATAAAACTGTAAGTATTGATTGGTATCCGTAACAAAGAAAAAAATAATGTCGATATTAACATTAATTTATTTCACATTTTTTTCTTCTTAGTGTTACCTACACATAACACTAACACAGTAACACACACCAACACATACTACCATAGATTAAAAGAAATAGACATATATGTCTATTTTAAAATTAATCAGTGTGGCAGATTGCGTGTAATAAATATAAAGGTTACTTACAGTCTTCGCAATCCTGTTAGTTGAGCACTACGGCCGTTTCGGAGATAACTCCATCGTCGGGTGCGTAGTCATTATACACTAATCTGAGCTATTTACATATTTACATTTCTTACGTAGTTTCTTCATTTTCATTGCGTCAAGGTTAAATAAATAGTACATACAACACAAAACACGGACACGACACGAAAACATTAAGGCACGTGCACGGCTAAAAACTGACGACCGACTGGTTGTCGGTCGTCAGTTTTTAGCCGTGCACGTGCCTTAATGTTTTCGTGTCGTGTCCGTGTTTTGTGTTGTATGTACTATTTATTTAACCTTGACGCAATGAAAATGAAGAAACCACGTAAGAAATGTAAATATGTAAATAGCTCAGATTAGTGTATAATGACTACGCACCCGACGATGGAGTTATCTCCGAAACGGCCGTAGTGCTCAACTAACAGGATTGCGAAGACTGTAAGTAACCTTTATATATATATGTCTATACTCCTTTTATCTATGATACTTAACACATAACACATAACTCTATAACAACAGTCACAGATAGCTCAGAGGTAAGGTAAGAGGCTCATAATACAGCACTGATAATTTTGTTTAAGATCCGTATCCAAGGAAACATAAGTTCATAGTACACAACATACATAAAATTTCAAAATTTGTGTAATACAGCTAATTGGTTTTCAACATATAACATGAGCAAGAATAACATTTATAAAATTAAAAATAATGGCACAATCACGAGAATAAATATAAATAAAATTATTTATCATAATCCTGATGTTGTTCCCGACCCATGCCAAGAAGATTCAACACAAGTACCAAATAATTCGTTACAAATAGAAGAGAGAAGATATTCTTACATCGATCCCAGAAAATGGATTCATTTCTCCGTGCACTTAACTAACACAATTATTCAACTGATATTTCCAAGAACACCATGAAAATTGACGACTTGATAAAAGATTGAAGATTGATGAAAATTTATAAATTCATGTAGAAGAAATTTTTGTTTACTTTTATACTGGTTATGTCTTGTGCATGTCATGCACTTCAATATAGTTTACAGGCCACGACCAACAAATCAAAATTTCAAAATTGGGGGGAATTTTAATTCATTTGGGTGGCACCTCTCCAACCCCAAAAACTCATAGTCATCCCCAAAATTTTGATACCATAATTTTTACAGCCAAAAGGGTACAGCAGTAAATGATTCATAATTAAAACAGTATTAATTTTAGAACGTAGTCTGACATAGTTGTAACTCGTCACCTTAATTAAGTTGTGTTTAAAATTTAAGTTGTCCAGCAGAGTTTTGATATTTGAGGTAGGCTATGGAAAGTTGAGAGTCCATGTCAATAATAGGCCAGACAGCTGTTACGTTAAGCAAATGGTATTATAGCAAAAGCTTTAGTCTAGAATGTTAGTGTCGGCTGCTAGACTTTTTTAAAATTAAATTAAATAAAAAAAAACTGAAACCCTAAACTAAAATTATGGCTTCGATATTCCCTAGTTCTCAAAATTATCTTTCTTTCAACACAAAAATCGTGAAAATCCGTTAAGTGGTTGATTTAGAATCGTGAAATACAAAAACCCTGTCACGTTTTAATATACAGGGTGAGTTTTAAATGAGTTCCCCTCCTACTTGTTTCTACATTTCTTAAGATATCAACTCCGGACAACGTCAGATCATTGTAGAGTAGTAAGTACTTCATTTTGACTGAGTATACATTTTTGGCCGCCATCTTGGATCCGCCATATTGGATACAAAGTTTTTTTTATGTAAAGGTAGGGCTGTGACCCATTATTCCAAACTAGAATTTTACGCTGATTACAATGCCGCAAATAGTTTTTAAAAATCTTGATCCGTTCTAAAGTTATAAGGACTTTTTATAACTTTATTTTTAGCCCATTTTAACATTGTGCATTTACAAACTAAGACCATAATCTGAAAATAGTGCTAGATAAAGATAAGTATACACCACCATTCATTGTCGACCTATTTTCACTTGGTTATGACGGCTGTATCTTTTTCGGCCGCCATCTTGGATCCGCAATTTTGAAATGTGAAAAATTAATTTAAATATGAAGGTGGTGTTGTGACCCATTATTTTTAACTAATTGTTTATGCTGAACTCAATGCCACAATCAGTTTTTCATTTGCATGTTTGGTTTTTGAATTATTGAAATTATAAATAAGATAATTTTAATATTTCATCGAAAAAGCTTGATAACCGAAAATGGATTGCGGCATTGAGTTCAGCATAAAAAAGTAGTTCAAAATGATGAGTCACAACACCACCTTCATATTTAAATTAATTTGTCACATTTCAAAATGGCGGATCCAAGATGGCGGCCGAAAAAAATACATCCGTCATAACCAAGTGAAAATAGGTCGACAATGAATGGTGGTGTATACTTATCTTTATCCAGCACTATTTTGAGATTATGGTCTTAGTTTGTAAATGCACAATGTTAAAATGGGCTAAAAATAAAGTTATAAAAAGTCCTTATAACTTTAGAACGGATCAAGATTTTTAAAAACTATTTGCGGCATTGTAATCAGCGTAAAATTTTAGTTTGGAATAATGGACATAAACCCTACCTTTACATTTGAAAAAAAAAACTTTGTATCCAATATGGCGGATCCAAGATGGCGGACAAAAATGTATACCCAGTCAAAATAAAGTACTTACTACTCTATAATGATCTGACGTGGTCCGGAGTTGATATCTTAAGAAATGTAGAAAAAAGTTGGGGGGGGGGGACTCATTTAAAAATCACCCTGTATACAAGCTGTTGGCCCGTCCTACGTACGGGAATCGAGTAGTCAGAATTGTGTTTCATTCAGAACAGCTAGTTATGCATTTTAAATCCGATAATTTGAAACCCCTGAAACAGTTCTGGGGAGCAGAGCATTCGATTTGTATATACAGCAATGGTATATCTCTGTGTGGTCTACTCATATCTACTAATCTTACTTGTTTCCTATAATCGATGACAAAATCATAGACTAAATAAAATAACCTCATAGTTCTATAGAATATTTTACCATAGAAGCATTTTTAAAACAAAGAAATTATACAAACTGAATATTTTACCATCAAGTCTTAAACCTGGTACATTATACCATAGTTAAATAGTAATTTTAATCAAACCAAAATGATAAATGAATGTGCACTGAGCATTTAGTAATAAGCTTGAATATATTGCTACAGAGTTTTGTTTACAAACCTTATAAGTCTTTTAGTAATGAGAATTCTTGTTATAAAATTCTACATGTATATCTGGTGTCTGAGATTATCACTGCCAAACAAATATACAAACAAGCCGACACCTCTTTTATACTTATAAAAAAATACCAATAATGGTTTATCGAACTGACTATACACTTCTTAAATATTTAACCATAGACTAACCAATACAAGTATACTTCCCATCTCATTGGGGATAGTTTATAACCAAAATCAAACACATAATTTGTAAAAGTATTGGGTAATGAAAATTATGCTAATAAATAGTTATGTAAAGTACGTATGATTTTAAGATCACTAGTAGTACAGTATTGCATTATTTTCGTTGGAGACATCAGGAATTTCTTTCCAAACTTATGTTTATAAACCATAAAAAATAACGGATAAACTATTATAAAATAAGTTTAAGATATTTTATTTGTCTGGAGTGTACATTAAATGAGAGTTGAAAATAAATATGACAGAACAGATATTGAGCAGAAGAAAGGAAATGTCGTGTTGAAAAAAGGTAGCCTACACATCGAAATCAAAATTATGTCTGGTACTGAGCAGCTGTGTATTGTAATAATCTAATTCGTCAATATGTTTATTAAAGTTAACATTTAGGGGTCTATGGGTGTTATCATTGACTATATAACACTAGTAGTGTTATATAGTCAATGGTGTTATGCACATAAAGCAATTATATCATGATAAAAATGACATAATTGCTAGAAATCCCCCGCATTGAGCCCCGCGTTCTGATTGGTCGAGAGCTCGATGACGTCACAAAGATGGCGGAAGGAGTAGGGCAAAAAGTGTTTGGCGGGAGCTGGGATGGAACCTGGTCCGGCGGCATGAGAAGCCGAAACGCTAACCACTGAGCCACGGCGCTCGATGTTAGACTTTGTGTCGAGGTCGTATACGAGGGCCGGCTTCGAGGGCCGGCATCGGGGGTCGGTATCGTGGATGTTTTTTTTTTTCTTAGGCACGAGATGATCGTGGTTCTGCTTTTCTCCACCAGAGTGTGCTGATATCGTCTGTTTTGGGAAAAAAAGGTGGTTCCGTCCTTCTCCACCAGAGTGTGTTGATACCTAGGTCGACTGGTCTCTAAACCTATTGTTTTTGTTTATGGTTGTATTAAATCGATTGTGGTTCTGCTTTTC